CGACGGACAGGGATCTGCAAGGGAGGAGAAGAGGGGTCATCGGCTCTGCTCTGGACTCATCCCTCCCCAGTGTACCCACCAGCTCCATCACGTCCTCCCAGCGCTGGACCCCGCTCTCCATCCCCGTGGCAGACCCAGCAGTGGGTGCTCGCCAGGCAAGTCCTTTACCTGTGATGTGCGGGGCTGCTGGCAGGATTGACCTCCCCACCAGCATGGACATTTTGGGGCTCTCCAGGCTGCCAGCTCCACTATCTGCTGTTCTGCTGGGGCACCGCATGCACACGTGGTGTGCGTGTGGTGTGTGCACGTGCACACACACGGTGCGTGCAACAACGCGCAGTGTGCGTGCACATGGGAGCGTGTGCACATTCCCATTCCTTTCAAGCTCAGCCAAGAACATTTTTGATGTCTTTGGATTTTCTCATTTCAGGTGGTTTTGCTTCTGTTGCTATGAAAAGGCCTTCAATGTGTTGGGGATTTCTTTTTCCAGAAGAGCAGAGACAGCAAAGGGAGGAGGTTTGCAGAGAAGGGAGCATCTGAAACTGGCTCCTCAGAAAAGGCTTCGTGGGCAATGTTTGAAAACCCAGTTGGAGATGGCAATGCAGTGCCTGATTTGCCAAATTTGGGACGAGTAAAAAGAACTGCAAAAAAGCCCAAACTTGTTCTCAATGCCACTCACACAAAGCTGGGTAAAAATACTCCCTTTCCCACCCAAGAGAGAACCCACAGGCTCTTCCCACCCTTTCTCTCACCCAGCACCCTTGTCCTGCCTCTAGTTCCCCTAATTTGGGAATACTCACTAAATAAAGAAGATACTATAGGCAGCCAAGACCAGTCCAGCTGTCCAACACACTACCACGGCCCCGTTGCCCACTATGGCCCCCCTGTCGCAGATCTTGGTGGTGGGAGGTGCCATGAAAGAGGAGGTGCTGGTGCTCGTTGTCTCTGTGGGGAAAAAGAATGGATGGCAAGGGAAGCGTACGGCACGAGAGGAAGCTTCTGTGCTAACGCAGGCTGCGCTTGCACCCGTAGGAGCGGGCCGGGGATGGAGCCGGCATCCCGGGCGCACGCAGGCTCTGCACGCACAGGCTGCACATCTGGCCCATGTGCACATCTGGCCAGCCCGCGAGGCGTGCGTGCACACACACACGCGCGTGCGACCCAGGTGCCCGGGGCTTGGAAATGCTCCCGGCGCGTCGCGAGCCGCCCGCTCCACGCACTGGGGCTTCCCAGGCACCCGTGCCAGCCAGGCGAGCGGCGCAGGGCCGC